AAAAAAAAAAAAAAAGGGAAAAAAAAAAAAAAAAAAAAAAAAAAAAGTAAGTAAAAAGAGACTGGACGGTACAGGGATCAAACCTTGGATCTTAGTGTTATCAACACCACACTCTAACCAACTGAGCTAACCGGCCAGCCCAAAAACATTTTCTTAAAAAGGTATCTGTATGCATGCATGAATAAGAGTGCATCTTATGGGTAAATAACCAATTAATATTACTTGGGTATTGAATCAAATGCAGCCTTTCATTCTGACCATTTTCTAGTTGAGCATCCTTCCTCATAGTCAAGTTTCTCCAAAGATTGTGCTGGGTGCCCCAATCCAGGGGCTGGCATCTTACTCTTGCTTTGCTCAGGAGGCAGGACACCTATCAGACAAAGTTGGAGAGCAGCTGTCCCCTTGGTCATAAGCTCTTGACCCTGTCCTACCTGCTATCTGAAGGAAGGACAAAAGAGGAAGCTTCTCACTGTAAGCCTATTTCTCTGAAGGCCAAGGTTAATATTCACCAGAAGCCTGTTTCTGCAGCTGGAAGAACTTTCCAGACTGACTTTCATGGAAACTGGAGAGGTGGCTTTGGCTTCACATTCCTGCTGCTCCTTCTTCTCCACAAATACAAGCTATGGCCTTTGAGGCTTTTGCCCCAGCACCATATTCTAGGTGCAAAGAAGCTATAAAGGAGTCCTGGTAAGGAGCCACCTTGGGTAACTCCAGGCAGTCTGGTCAGCATACATGCCCACGTTCATCTCCTCAACGGGGAGCTCTGCGAGGGCGAGAACAAGGACACGGCACATTCTCACAGGTCACCAGCATGTGGTGGGTCCTCACCAGTGTGTGTGGCAGCAGAATATGCAGCCTCAGAGCCTAGTTCCCTGGCCTATTCTCCCCAGATGTGCACTCTGACACCTCCCCTCAACAAAATCAGAAAAGGGAGTTAATTTTACAAGATGGATAAAGTACAGCAACATGCCTTTAAGGGCACAATCACAGCCACAGCATCCATGAAAGGCAGTGCTGCCAAATGAAAGGAGAGTTTCTGAAAGGGGACTCCTGAAATAATATTTCTAGAAACAATTTTCAAGGCACGCTGATTTTTTTTAAAAACTATAGCTCATGGCTTTAAACATGTAAGAATAAAGAATGATCTGTTATAAATAACTTTTTTTTTTTCCTTTCTTGATTGCTGCCCAGTGTGGGGATTCATAACTTTCTATCTTAAGATATAAATGTGAGGCTGGCCAATTAGCTCAGTTGGTTAGATAGTGGTTATTACAACACTAAGGCCAAGATGAAAACTGGACAGGACAAGAGTTCTGGTCAAGATGGCAGAATAGACAGTCCTCAGTGTCACTCTCTCCCACAAATCAACCAATTTACAACTATAAAAATGTAACATCAGCCAAGCTGGGGCCGCTGGAGCTCAAGGGAAGAGGAGGAGAGACCTATGGAGTTCACGAAGGTGGGAGAAACCATGACGAGAGGAAGAAAAAACTGCTCTATTTCGGGCTGTGGCTGCTTTAAGGCTCCAGCTGCTGAATGCATGCATGGAGCAGGAGCCAGCAGAAGCCACAGCTGTGCCCTTCAGATGGAGTTACTTGCAGGTGGCAGGGGAGAAGAGAGCCTCGGTGGCCCCCAGGACAGCAAGACCACTAATATGGTTCCAATGGACACACGCAGGAGAGAGGAACCAGAACAGCTGAAAAATGGGAGCCATTCAGAGGCCGGTGAGTCATTCCAAGGGACTGGTGCAGGGACCGTCCATAGGAAGTGTTTGGAGCACGGGTGGTGGGGGAGATGAGCCCACCTGGAAAACACTGGGACACAGCAAGGACAGCCGATCCGCCCCCCAATCAGCGCAGGACCACTCAGAGGAGACTCGGGAGTGCAGAAGGACCACTCAGAGGTTGGGAATGCAGAATTGCACGGGGTGGTGTTTGATGAAAAAACTCAGGCCCAGATCAGCGTTTCTACACAGCCCAGGTGCACTGGGTCTCGGGAGAGCCACGAGTACCTATAAGGTCACCATTAAACCCTGAGCTGCGCAAAAAGCCTTCCCTAGGGAAACAGCAGCAAAGCAGCAATTTAGCCCAAAAACACAGCTCAAGTACTGGTTCCCACAGGAAGTTCCCGTTTTAGAAGTAAGCAAAGGACAAAAAATTAGTTCTGGCTCAGGCACACCACCAGCGCCTGGGGCCCGCCAGGGGACACGAAGCATGGAGCCAGGGACCGGACCCTCCTCCCATATCCAGGCACACCACCCAGTACCTTGGGCCCACCTGGGGACCAGAGGTATGCAGAAGGGGACCAGACACCCCCCCACACACAGTCAGTTACACTGCGCCAGTGCCTCGGAGCCTGCCCAGGGACCCACGGTATGGAGCTGGGGACCGGATCCCCCTCCCACAACCAGGCACACCATGCCAGCAGCTCGGGGCCTGCCCAGAGACCCAAGGCATGGAGTGGGGACCAGACACTCCCCACAACCAGGCACACCACCAGCCCCAAGGAGCATGCCAAAAACATCACCTCCATGTGGGCAGCCCACCACAGCCATCACAATAACCGTGGCTGCTGCGAAAGCGGCTAGATGCCACAACTACCACTCAGATAGTCCGCCAGCCACTGGAGTGCACTGACACAGGAGAGTCACCAGCAGAGATAGAGAAGAGGATGTCTCTCTCCACAAAGCCCATTTCAGAGTGACAGAAGAAACATCTGCTCTATGATAATATTGGGGGACCTGATCACATATCTCAGCATTGGACAGATCATCTAGGCAACAAATCAACAAAGTAACCATTATTCTTTCAGAAGAAGAGAAGAAATCTAGGGTAATTAGAGGGGGGAGGAATAGGGAGAGGGGATGGGGAGAGATTGGACAAGGGGCATAAAGAATAATTACGATTTGTAATAATATATATGCTAGTAGTAACATTGATTTGATCAACATATCTCAATGTTGAACCCCCAAAATATGTATAATCAATTTTGATTCAGTAAAAAATTTAAAAATAAATAAATAAATAAATAATCTGTTATTGGAAAAGTTTTACAGCTATGCATACTTGGGTTATATGAATCTACTTAACCCAACTGTAAATTTTATGAAATGTAAATATGATAAAGTAATTCTGATGAACTTTCAGTCCTTGTACTGAGATGTAAGTATAAAATACACAATGGATTTCAAAGATTTTTAGTATGAGAAAAAGAATGTAAATTATGTCATTAATAATTTTTTATACTGATTACATGTTGAAATGATTGGGACATACTAAGTTAAATAAAATGTATGATTAACATGGAAAAAAACAACAACAAACAAACCTAGACAAGACAGCACTTAGTACAAAGTAGGGGAAAGTTAGATTTAGCAAGACCTTAGTTCTTTAACTGTTTAGCCATTTCCATCTCTTCCTAGTATCTCAAAAAATTTAAATTTTCTGTCCCATGAATCCACATAACAGTTCAACAAAGCCCTGAAATTCTGTGCTAGTTTTTTCTTTCTGTGACTTCTTTTCTCTGCAGCCATTTGCCATTTGGGGCAGCACTGATGGCTTATTTATGATGTGTATGTAAGGGAAAAAAACGGAACTGCTTTTCAGTTTCTGGAGAGCATTATATAATAATGAAAAGTATGAAAAGTAGCCAGTGACAATCAAGCACCACATGTGAGGAAATGTGCACACACTCTATGGAGGCTGCACATCACCGCATTTAAATCTTCCACCCCCCACACTGGAGGAATAATTACCCTCATTTCACAGCAGCGGACACAGGCTCAGCCAGAAGTGGTGGCACCAGTTCTGTCCAATTCCGGAGCCTGGACATTTAACCATTGTGCTATACTTCTCCACCAAAGAAAACCAGAAGACCAGTTCTAAGTTTCACTGCATGTTAAGATTTACCTCTGCGGAACAGAGGAAGCACGTGAGGGTCACAAAATTCCTCCTTGGGAGCAGAGGACCCCAAAGATAATGCTAAGAGCTTAGCTATCCCCAGGTATATTAAGGAACCAAGGGAGGAGGATGAGATTGAAAAGTGAAGCATATACTAGAGTCAAGGAAATGCAAACATGGAAGAGGAATGACCTATAGGAAAGGTCATCAACTCTGCCACAACAATGTCCTGACCACAGTCTTCCTTCCTACTCCCAATTTTTCAAGAACATCCACTAAAGATCGAGAGTCTATTGGGAAGCCCTCAATCTAAATGTAAGATAGAGGACAGGAGGAAATTAAGCTTACTCTTCTAAGGTGCCAGTCTTGCAATGAGAATGAGCATGGACCAGACTTAGTTGTTTCCCAAGGCTAATCAGGGCCCCAGACTGATGAAGGGTGCCCTTATTCTCCATGTCTCAAACACACAGGGAAGTCCCTCAAGAACAGACACAGGGACCACAGCCTCACCAGGCTCATGTAGAGCAGATGAGCCCACAGCACAGAAAAATCTTGTCTGAGTGAGCTGCATGGCTTACCAGGTACGTTCCAACAGAGCCAGGTCAAACATACACAAAGGCTTTCCAGCACTATTATACCAGTGTAGCTACTTAGTATGGCATATAGAACCTCAGGGTCAAGGCCAAAAAGGCTTCAGAGTAACTGCACTGAGAGCCAAGACCAAAAACAAATAATCCAAGTTTTCATCCCACTTAGAAGGTGCTGTACTTTTTCTTTTCTTCACTTTTCCTCTTGTTCAAGTGAGAACAGGAAAAAGCATGTAGAAGGGAAGAGATTCAATTCTCTGCTGAAAACTGTGGCTAAAACTAGCTTTGACTTACCTGTCCTTCTCTTTCTCCCATCATTGACCTTGAACCTTCTCTCCTGAAAAAGAGAATTTAAATCAAACCATAAGGACAGGAGGACTGCTCACAGAGAGGCTGATCGATTGGACCCCCAAATGGAAAGCAACGTTTCTTGAACTGAATGCAGGCAATTCCTGAGCCCATTTCGGGATGGATCAACTGGGTTTGGTGAGCTCAGAACAGTTAGTACTTGTTCCCAGTCAGAGAATGAGCCAGGAAAAACAAAACCTGCACAGCCGACTGACCTGTCTGGGTAGCGGCCTCGGTCCCTATGGTCAAAGTCATGGAAGCGATCCTGGCGGGTAAAGTCAGAGTGGTAGCGCTCATCCAGTGCAGCCCGCTTGGCTTCTGGCCAATAGGCATCGTCTCGCCTGCAGGGGATACAAGAAAGGGATAAAGGCATTTCTCCTCCAAATATAGTACTTTTGGGAGAGCTGGTGAACTAAACTTTCAAACTGTCCCTGGCCCCGTCACTGCACAGAACAAGAATTTCACAGACAGTATTATTGTTGATGTGAACCCAGTGACTGAGTGATAACATTCCCTGCCTCTGAAGGGCACTGGCTCTCCCAACAAGGGGTGATTAGTTAAGCAGGCTGTCGCATGTGCCACCTGCAGACAGCTTCAGGGAACCCACACAGCCACCACCTATTGGTAAAACAGTGAGCCCTCTACCCCCCAGGAACTCTCGAGTGCACTTGTCATCTCCACTACCCTGATGGTCCACAAAGTTGGAAGGCGAGCAGCAAGCTTGATAGATAGAACCAATGCTGAAATTATCCCCGATTCCCGAATGCAAGGTGTGAATGCAGCCCCCTTTTCACTGGTGTTTAGCCTTTCTGCACTCATACTTTTCATCAGTATGTGTGAAGAATTAAAACTAATCTCATTACTACAATAAACAAAAACAAATTACAAAATAGAAAACATGGAGGGGCCCCAAAAGGAGGTGCTGTTTGGTCTCTGGTCGCCTTTCCAGCATTCATTTTGTATGCTCTGGGTGAGCCAGCTTACCTCCTCGGAGGGTATGTGTTTGGACTTAAACCTAATGATTTAATCAGCACTTCTTTATCCACTCCAGTCTTTACTGAGCTCAAACCATTCAGAGCTTTACTGAGCTCTGAATCCCTGCTGGAGTACAGAGCAGTGAACTGGGTTGCAGCATGTACCTCTGTTTCCTTTTTAAAATCTCACACTGACAGGACTCGGGGTTCGTAACATGTGATTCTGAATGCCACCGGCCACCCGAGGGCTGGAGTATGGTGGCTCAGCTTACCGGCCATCCACGTCATAGGGCCGCCGCGCCACGGGCCGCCGCTCCTGCTCGTAGCGCAGCTCCTGCTGACGCCGCAGCTCCTCCCGCTCACGGTGGATGCGCTCCTGCTCGCGCCGGCGCTCGTGCTCCACGTGCATGCGCTCCCGCTCCAGCCGCTCCCGCTCCATGCGCTCCCGCTCCAGCCGCTGCCGCTGGAAGGCCAGCCTCTCGCGGGCGATCTCAAGCCGCTCCCGCTCCTCGCGCTCCCACTGCGCCTGCATGCGCTGCTCCCACTCGCTGCGCTCGCGCACCCTGCGGCAAGACAGCAGAGCTGCAGGGAGGAGCCTACGAGTTGACCGCCAGGCCTTTGTCTTGATAGATAGAACCAATGCTGAAATTATCCCCGATTCCCGAATGCAAGGTGTGAATGCAGCCCCCTTTTCACTGGTGTTTAGCCTTTCTGCACTCATACTTTTCATCAGTATGTGTGAAGAATTAAAACTAATCTCATTACTACAATAAACAAAAACAAATTACAAAATAGAAAACATGGAGGGGCCCCAAAAGGAGGTGCTGTTTGGTCTCTGGTCGCCTTTCCAGCATTCATTTTGTATGCTCTGGGTGAGCCAGCTTACCTCCTCGGAGGGTATGTGTTTGGACTTAAACCTAATGATTTAATCAGCACTTCTTTATCCACTCCAGTCTTTACTGAGCTCAAACCATTCAGAGCTTTACTGAGCTCTGAATCCCTGCTGGAGTACAGAGCAGTGAACTGGGTTGCAGCATGTACCTCTGTTTCCTTTTTAAAATCTCACACTGACAGGACTCGGGGTTCGTAACATGTGATTCTGAATGCCACCGGCCACCCGAGGGCTGGAGTATGGTGGCTCAGCTTACCGGCCATCCACGTCATAGGGCCGCCGCGCCACGGGCCGCCGCTCCTGCTCGTAGCGCAGCTCCTGCTGACGCCGCAGCTCCTCCCGCTCACGGTGGATGCGCTCCTGCTCACGCCGGCGCTCGTGCTCCACGTGCATGCGCTCCCGCTCCAGCCGCTCCCGCTCCATGCGCTCCCGCTCCAGCCGCTGCCGCTGGAAGGCCAGCCTCTCGCGGGCGATCTCAAGCCGCTCCCGCTCCTCGCGCTCCCACTGCGCCTGCATGCGCTGCTCCCACTCGCTGCGCTCGCGCACCCTGCGGCAAGACAGCAGAGCTGCAGGGAGGAGCCTACGAGTTGACCGCCAGGCCTTTGTCCAACCCAGCCCCAAGGCAGACTTAAAAGTCGGGGCCACGGAGGCAGTGAAGACTCAAGGGCTGAGCAGAACTGCACTCTCTAGTGGGGAGAATGAGTTTGGGGCCACCAGCTGCTATAAAACAGCAGAAGATCCCAGGAATGCAGGCACAGGCTCTGCTTCCAGCTTGGTCCCTGACTAGCCAGATGACAGCGAAGAGGTCATCAGCTGTAATATGAACTGAGCCTCATTTCTCCAACATTTTCTGCAGTCTGACATGTGATCCCATGAAATAGCCAATTAAAAATAAGAAACAGAACATACTTTTCATAAGTGAGTCTGAATTAGGATCTTTGCTCCCTAAACCAGCTTAAACTTGTCACTGTGAAATGCGGCTGGTGCCCCAGAATCTAAATCTTTTTTTTTTTTTTTTAAAGATGACCGGTAAGGGGATCTTAACCCTTGACTTGGTGCTGTCAGCACCACGCTCAGCCAGTGAGCAAACCGGCCATTCCTATATGGGATCCAAACCCGGGGCCTTGGTGTTATCAACACACTCTCCCGAGTGAGCCACGGGCCGGCCCAGAATCTAAATCTTTCAGTGAGCAAACCGGCCATCCCTATATGGGATCCGAACCCGGGGCCTTGGTGTTATCAACACACTCTCCCGAGTGAGCCACGGGCCGGCCCAGAATCTAAATCTTATGATGATATTTATTAAACACTGGCCCTGAAGCTGGGCAGGACCACCCTGCCTGGGCATAAGGACACCACCAGCTATATTCTTATAGTGATATAGATCATACTTTAGTGCATTTCCTTCCAGTATTTATTTGTATATGTAACAGAGAAGACAGTTGCTACGTCGTCTTTTTTTAGTCCTTTGTATATGTGTTTACAGACATATTAGTACCAGCAGAAATATATAATCTGGCCTCGTTTAGTGTCTGTTTTGGATAAAAATGGCTGTACTTCCTTGGTTCACTCAACACATCCTGGACCCTCCCCCTGTGGGCCTGCTTCTGGGCATCTACAGACATACATTCAGGAGGAAGCCCACGGTACGGAGAGACCATGCTTCATGCAACCAGCACTCACCACTTCACAAGACGAACACTCATGCCCACACTTTGCTGTGCACATGTTCCTCTAGGGCAGGGATGCAGAAGTGGAATCTGTGGGTCTGGAATGTTCTAGCAGGTAGAAGTCTATGCTATTGTGGATTGTCCCTCCAGGTCACTTGTGCCCACTTACACTTGCCCTGACAGAATACCTGTCTCCTCACAGCTTAACTCATGTTGAGTCCAATTACAGTGAAGTGAAAAAATGGTATCAGTGCTGTGTTAATTTGCATTCCCCTGATCCCTAGCAAGACTGAACAACTTTTCCTATGTTTCATGGACACCCATACGCCCCTCCTGTGAACTGCCTTCATAGCTGCTGTCCATTTTTCTGTTGGGCTGTTTTCTTATTGATTTATTACGTTTACTTCAAATCACTTTTATTCCCATCTGTCATGTCTTTTGACTTTCCCTGTGGTTTTCCACAGTACAGAAATTTAATTTTGATTTAGTCAGCTTCTCCTTTACGACTTTTAAGGCCTTCTAAACCCCAAATTCATAAATATATTTAAATTTGTAAATATATTTACTTTCATATTACATGACTGACTTAATGGTTTTTACTTCTATGTTCGGTCATCAGTCCACCCATCAGTCCATCCTTCTGTGAAGGATGCAACAGGTAGGGATCCAGAGGACTATCCAAAGGCACAGCCCACACCCCCAAGTGATCAGAAGCTGTCTGGAGGAGTCGGTCCTCTCTTCACTAGTGGCATGGTTACTTTTATCATGTTAAATTCTCAGTATTCTTGGATCTGGTTCTGCTGATCAATCTGCCAATTACGCCACCAAAGCTGCATGTTCCTTTGCCTGCTGCTTCTCCCTTTTAGACAAAAAGTCCTATGTGGGGCATCACAAAAACTGTTCCCCTGCCCCTTTCGCTTTTACTCTACTCCATTAAAAAAAATATATATTAATGATTCTTATTTTTTAAACTGTAATTTAAACATTTCTTCTTTATAGGAAAGATGGATTAACTATAACTCAATATGACCAACAACATTTGTGTTTAGTTTTTAAAAAAATTATGACATTTTTCTTGGTTTATTTAAGGATAAGGATCTTTCAGAGTGCTCTTTGGGTCTATCTCACTGTTTTTTCCCTTTTCATAGCTTCTGGAGTAAATTTGGTATTTCTGGTTAAGTAGCACTAATGAACCAGGTAGGTATTCCATCTCCTTGCCTTTGTTACCTTCTATAATCTTTGGGGAGAGATGGGCCCATCTGCACAAAATCAGTGGAAAAGAGCCATAAGATGAAAGTCAAAATACAAGTCTGTTAACCGAAAGCCAAAGGAGCAAAAAGGTTTAAAGTAATATTCCACCCAAAGGACACGCTATGGACCACAGTCTAGGGAAACAACTGAATCAGTGAACGTTTCTGGATCCTGACTCACCTACGGGACTCTGAGTCTCTTGACTTCCGAGGCTCTTTGACCTTATCAAAGGACACAACAGACCGCTTCTCTCTGCTGGCCGATTTGCGATCCTGGCTTTTGGAAGCCTAGGTCACCAAAGAACATTAGAAAGTTAAGGTAGAAATGAAAAGGGAACAGGAAGAATCACATATGCCCATGTCCAAGCATCGAATGGAGAGATCCTACATGATGACTAACTTTTTTTTTTTTCCTTTTTGTCTTTTTTCAGTGACCGGCAACGGATAGCAACCCTCAGTGTCGTGCCCGTACCGGACCGGGACTGGCAACGGGATCGCAACCCTCGGTGCTGCTCCCGCACCTCGCTCAGCCAGTGAGCGGCCGGTCTGTATGTGGGATCCGAACCCTCGGCGGGAGCGCCACCACGCTTCCCAAGCGGCGCACTGTAGCAGTGTGCCACCAGGCCGGCCCTGATGATGATGACTAACTTTTAATGAAGCAATCGGACAAAGAGGTGCTCTCTCTAAAGAAACCTCATGCTTTGCTTATCATAACTGAAAGACAAAGAATTTCTTCAATATTTAATGCTAAAATATGACCCATCAACTATACTCTATATAGAGTCAAAATGGAAATGAGTGTTTCCTTCTAAAACTTTTCATAAGATCAAAAAAATATTCTTTATGCTTTGTCTTTTGCATTCAAAATAAATTCCTTAATTTTGTACTTTTCTCTCATAACTAAACCACTAGTGAGTTCCCAAATGAGGCCACTCTGGTACGTTTGACAATTTCCTTATTTATGCCAATTACATTTTTATAAGATGTAATCTTAGCCCTAGAATCCATACTTTCATTTTTCCAATCTTTTTTTTCCCCCCAGCTGGCTGGTACAGGGATCCAAACCTATGACCCTGGTGTCATAAGGCTGTGCTCTAACCAACTGAGCGAATTGGCCAGGCTTCCAATCATTTTTTATAAAATGAGAGTAAGAGGCTATAGTATATTAAAATATTTGTACAAACACAGACAAAAGGCTTCCATGAAAGGCTGGCCTGAACTGATCCATAGCATTCAAGAGCTTAAATGGTTTGTCCTCTGTGTGGCACAGGGCCGACACAGAGGCCCAAAGCTGCTTTTTTTTTTTTTTTAAAAAAGATGACTGGTAAGGGGATCTTAACCCTTGGCTTGGTGTTGTTAGCACCACGCTCTCCCAAGTAAGCTAACCGGCCAACCCTACATAGGATCCGAACCTGTGGCCCTGGTATTATCAGCACCACGCTCTCCTGAGTGAGCTACAGGCCGGCCCCCAAAGCTGCCCTTAGAAGGGTCTGTGAGCAAGCTGGCAACTGGGAACTTGGCTCTCAGTGTGTCCCCAGGTACCTGGTGAGGGTGGCTCACTGTGCTACACCATGCTAACAATAGCTTAAGCTGGACATCTGCTTTCCTTCTGGGAGTCAGGAATTTGGGTACATCCCAGACGAGGGTGCCTGTCACTAGCCTGCAATAAAACCTCTGGTCACTGAAGCTCTAATGGGCTTCCCTGGACAGAAGCATCACACATGTTGCTGCATTTTCATTGCGGTGTGGGCCCCACAGTAGGAAGAGAACACAAAGAAGCCTGCACGGGATCCCTCCAGACTCTGCCAGTGTCTTTTCCCCTTAGGATCTGACTGTGTGTCCTTACTACAGGACTGTAGTTGATCTTAGCCGTGAGCACAACTATATGCTAAGTCTAGTGGTCATCTTAATGAATCACTGAATGCGGGGGCGGTCTTAAAACCCCTGACCCACATCTATTAAAGCTGTAAAGCGACAGGGGCTGGCTGGTTAGAACACAGTGTTGATAACACTAAGGTCAAGGGTTCAGATCCCCATACTGGTTTGCCCCACACTCCCAAAACAGTTGTAAGGCTATCAAAAGTTGATCTTATGAACATCGGCAGCTGCCCATTACCCTGATGGCAGGCAAAGTGAGGTGGTAAGTATCTAAGACACTTTGTGATCCAGTGTTCTGTGGGGCATTCTGTCTGTGAAGAGAAAGAGTATGGGACTAAACCAAGGTGGAGACTAGGATTAGAGGTTGGCGGGAAAGGTTGGATGGGTCACACATGGAGGTGCCTATTTGGGCTGGGTGCAGGAACGCTTGATGGAGAGCTGCTGAAACATTCAGGGAAAAAGTCAACTGCTCCTATATTTTTGAACTTTAAAGTTAGCTTTAAAAATAAAAAGGAATGCTCCCGCCCGAGGGTTCGGATCCCACATGCAGACCGGTTCCCGCTCACTGGCTGAGCGAGGTTCCCGCTCACTGGCTGAGCGAGGCGCGGGAGCGACACCGAGGGTTGCGATCCCGTTGCCGGTCCCCGGTCCGGTACGGGGGCAACACTGAGGGTTGCGATCCGTTGCCAGACATGGAAAAAGACAAAAAAAAAAAACCACCTCTCTCCATGTTTTTCAAAGTTCAAGACTTCTCCATTTCTGAAAAGGTAGATAGCTTTTCTCAAATTAAGCTCAAGAATTCCCTAAAATAAACATAGCAAAGTAAACCAAAAAACAAACTAACAAAACCTCTAAATACCCGAGTTATAAAATTAACACTCACTCTCTCTTTGGATCCAGATGTTTTCACACTAATAACAGGCACCCCTTTCGACTTGTCCATTACTACAGTCCGCTCAGTTCCTCGACTTCCTACAGGAAAGAGTAAACATAAGGTAAGAAAAAAGCACCCAAATGAGAAAAAAATACTCTTAACTCTACGCAAAATGAATCTAGTTTGTGGTGCCACCCAGTGATAGCTAATTAACAAGTTACACTGGCTAGAAACAGAAAACAAGATGAAATTATCGATCAGCTGGCTACCTGATTTTGTAGCTCGAGATCGCTCAGAGGGGCCAGGTTTCTGATCATCTTGGTCTTTACTCTTTTCTCCACTTCCATCTTCAGCCTTTTTAGCATCATCTTTTCTGTCGGCTTTATCGTCCCTCTTAAAGTTTGCAGATCTATAATAACCCCGACACAAAGTGTGTTAGAGCAGGTCAGGTATTTAGGGAATCAGACCAGACCTGACTGGACTCTGCAACAAGCAGCAAGTGACTGGGGTGAGGAAATCCTCTCTAGCTACTGGTAATGAAAGCCTTTTGACCAGATTTAAAAAAATAAAGGGGGCAAGGAGTTCCACAGAGAATCAGTCACTTATATTCTGTCTACTCCACCTATGAAAAATTTGAAGGATATCAAATCAAGGACTGGTCATCTTCCCCAGTCTTCTCTCTCTTGACTTTTATCAGGGAGGAAGAATACCTGTCGCTGTTGCTCGACTTCTCCTTCCTCCCCTCACCATCTCTTTTGTCAGAGGTTTTCTTCCCAGCAGGTTCATTTTTTGCCTGAAAAAGAATCAAGTGCAAGTATAACATTATTTGCTAAAATTGGCCACATCCCAGGAAGAAAATTGTCACTCACTTTTTCCACTGAGATCATCTTCCCATGGAGCTCTGTTTTGTGTAGGTGGTTAATGCATTTTGTTGCCTCTTCTGCTGTGGACATTGTCACAAAGCCATAACAGCGAGCTCCAGGACTCCGGGCATTTGTCACAACCTTGGCGCCCACCACCTCAAAGAAAGCATGCAAATACAGTTTGGACACGAAGCCCACACAGGCACAGACCCCAATACCCACTGCTCAAAATGCACAGGGCAACACGCTTCGCAGGAGAAAGCCTACTGAGGACAACCTTGGCGCCCACCACCTCAAAGAAAGCATGCAAATACAGTTTGGACACGAAGCCCACAAAGGCACAGACCCCAATACCCACTGCTCAAAATGCACAGGGCAACACGCTTCACAGGAGAAAGCCTACTGAGGGGCATGAAGGGAGTGACGCTGCTTTCCTCTGATTCACCCCAAGTCCTGATGCCTGCCCTGGGATGAGGGTCAGCAGAAAAGTCAGGTCACCAGGTGTCTGACAAGTGGCAGATATGGACCGGGGAGGAAAATGCTATTGTCTCACTGTTGCTCTTCAAAGGACCTCCTTCCCCTTCTAGCCGCTCCTCTAAGTTCCCTGCAGGGACCAGGATGGCAGTGTGGAGGAGCAGAGAAGAAAGCGAAATGAAACAGAGTTGTGCCAGCATTCCTTTATTATGGCTTACATGCCATGGGGAAATGATTCTAAGTATATGATCATGCTATGTGAGCAGCAAGCTATGGAGAGGTGACATGTGGGCAAATAAAGTAGGAAGAGAGAGCTACAGAGATTGACCTAACGACAGGTCTGCGAACCACTCTAGAACAAAGAAACCATCACGGCAGTAACATAACAAGATTCAATGACGTGTTTCAGACACTATACACACATCTTTTTCATGCTACTCTATTCTCCCCACAAGTCCAGCAAGCTGAAGTTAGGCTTGCACTTTAAGGCAGAAGATACCATGGCTCAGCAAAGTCCCACAAGAGCCTGCAGCTGTAGCCAGTATTCACGTTTCTTATGCCACACAAAATCTTAGCTCCAAACAAAGGTTTCAGAGTGGTCTGGTCCCCGATTTAACCAATATCAAGCCCACAATGCACCCAAGACACTGCAGGCTCCAGGATGACACTTCAGTGCTGAGTGTCCACTTGCTGGGAACCACTGTGAAATTAGGAAGGGAGCTATAGTTGGGGAGACTGGGCATGGGCTCTCGAGCCACACACCTTGTATTACCAAGGCCCAGGGAGTCATCAGTTATTTCTAGAAGCATGTCGTTTTGTTTGTCCTCTTGTTAGTTCTTGGACATCAATAATTAGGGTAAATACTGTTGGTTTTCTCTATCATGATATGTTGAACCCTTACATTATGGATGAAAGTCTGTGCCAAATCTTCCTTTGGCTGCTCCCCAAAACTGACTCTGAGAGCCAAAGAACCCTGGAGGCAATTGTTTATTTGGGAGGCAAGTCTGGGAAACATAAGGGAAAAAGGCCAGCCCTGGTGCCTCAACCAAGAGGTAAGTGCAGCAGGCACCTGGGGTGGTGGAGGCTAGAGCAGCTGCCCATGAGCTACCACACTCATGAGCTCAGGAAAGGCAGGTGCCGTAAATGAGAAGGGCCAGAACTACCCCTGGCTGCAGAGGTGAGGGTCAGACAGGAGATGTAAACTGCCCACGGTCAGGGTCACATCTCTCGTCAGACTCCACGACCCGTTCTTAAGTGTTATGCTACAGCATCACTTCAGTTCTTTCCTAATCACTGCTGTCTCTCAAACATGGTGACCAGCACCTCTTGCCCTTTGCTCCGACCCCTACAGCCCTCCCTGCTGTGAAGTCCTGAGGACACAGAAATTGATTCATGAAGCCATCAAATGGGAGGGAACAAGCTGCAGAGAAGGGGAGAAATAGAAAGCAGATGTGAGCCTTGGGAGCTTCCACACACCTCTCTCCTCTACCATGGCGGGGCATACCCTCCACAGCCATCAGCAAATGCAAGCTCCTGGTGCCAAGGTACTTACTAAGAGGGGCCAGTAACCTGCAAGTGAAAGCTGTACTACACTGGCTTAAAAATACCTCCTTTTCCAGGAAATCCCTGGCTCTTACCTTCCCATATCTGCTGAAAAGATTCTTCAAATCTGTAGCTCTGGTTGTAGAAGAAAGTCCACTAACCCAGAAATTTCTACCACAACTGCTACGACCTATGTCAAAAGAAAGTTCTAATTAAAAACAGAACACCCACAAGATTCTGATTCTTAAAGGTCATTCCAAACCAGACAGGATTCCCATTTCTCCCCAGATAGTGGCAGCACCCAAAGCCACATGGAGGTGGGGGCCTGGCCCAATGTCCTCACAAGAACTCTGCAGCTGCACAGCAGGCCCAACAGCACTGCCAGAAATGGCAGTTACAGCAGTGAGTCAGGGGCTGTCAGCACCACGTGCGGTTTCCTTAGGAAGTTATCAAATGGCTAGTTACACAACCAAGGGAGGTGGCTTTTTAACATAAAGCAGCCACTATCACTGTAAAAACACTCCTGTTTTTCTTTTCTTGTAGCATCTGTCCCATATTTTTATTCTTTTTGAACACTAAGAAGGAATTTGGTACAGTGATACTACTCAGTAATTTTAATAAACAGTTATAGGATCAATGAATTCAAAACACTCTCAAAAGCAAGTGTCCGCATCGAATCAATAGGTTAACTCTTAGGAACTGATTTGTCCCTACAATCCAGAACCTGTGGAGCTAACAGCAGAGAAGGACTTCATGAAAGACTCAGGACAATCTGGGTAAGAAACGCAGAATGTGATGAACTAGAATCAAATACCCCGCCGCTGCCGAGGCCAAACATGCTCCAAGGGACTGGTGTTGCCGTGGTGACCTACCCTTTTCCTCTTTGGAAAGCCTTTTTGTATCCGAGTCATCTTCGACAGAACTAGAGACAAAAGATAATGTCACTCCGGACAGAAGAAGCATACAGGAAACAAACTCAAAATAATAAAATACGTGCTGAGTTTGCATACCTACCCGAAATTTAGTTCTGAAAAAAATGATACCCCGACAAACTTGTATTGTAAATCTGACCTAACCATAAGATTTCAGACCCACAGGAGTTAATTAATTCTGCTGGGCTAAAGATAATTAGGAAGAATTAAAACAACCATGGTAGGTTGAGAAAAAGAAAAAGATTATGCAATCAGTGTAAAATAAACAAAGAGAAATAAAACATTCTTTAGAAGTAAAACTACAATTTCGTCAGTCTGGCTGGCCAATTGCAGAAAAAACAGCTTATGTGTGTCATTAAATGACCAATGAAAAGGAG